CCACTATTTGCACATCACTTTGCATTCAAAAATGAAAAACAATGGGAAGATAAATATGGAAAATGGAATGACAAACAAGAAAGTCTTTTCACAAATATTATGACACATGTTTGAATGGATGTAACAAATGATATTTTACAAATGTTTACAAATTTGTTGCGAATGTAAAGTTTATATTTTTATTCAAGTGGAAAAATTATGAACGAAAATGGGGAGCAGGCTATGGGAAGGAGGTCTGATGAGATCTAAAACTCTTACTTCATGTCCTGGGGCTAGTTTTAATGTTATATCTTGAATTAAAGAAACTTTCCCGATGCATATGTCACTGATCTAGTATTTTACTCTATTATATTTCTGATCTTTTCGGCTATAGATGGAAGCAGGTCTTCTTGTCATCAAAAACTTCCATTTTTCTGCCAAACTTTTTGGCAAAATTGATAATAACAAAAAATTAACAACCATGTTATGCTGTGTTCCTTTTTCATGTAGACTCTATTTTATGCTTAGTATGTAGCTTGATCCATCAAATTTTTTATGTTCTTTTATTATTTTTGGGATGTTCAGCGAAATGTTTTAAATTTCTCATCCTTCTTTATTGCCTTTTGTCGATTCTTCTTCCTCTATCTTCTTGTTTTACGCATCAAAGGATGTTTAGGTTTGTGGCTAAGAGTTGAGCATAGAGTATTATGTAGCCACAAAGTATTTCCTTTTATAAGATCAGGTGAGTTATGATGAAATATGAGAGGCTTTAAGTACCACAAAAAAAAATGGAATAAAATATTTTTCTTATCGTCAGGTTCTCTAACTTTTGACCTCAATATGGCAACAGCAACAAAAATTTTCAGCCCAACCAATAAAATTTTCAATATATATCATATCATGTTCTGTCATGTGTTGTTACAATATTTTATATCTTTTTATTGAGATACTGTTTCCATCCCTTTCTACATCAGTGTTGTCCAACCCATGTGTCGCGAAAAAATTCGAAAAATCCCACGAACCGTATGCAATGTGCGGTTTTGGTTATGGTTTACTATCAAGGTGTGTCGTGTTACAAAAAAGGTTGGACACCACTGCTCTACATACCATACGTATAATAATACCCTTCAGCAATTGTCCTTTTTCCTTTCTTCTCCAGCTTCTTTCCTCTTTTATGTTATTCGCAAACATTCATATCTTCATGTCAGTCTGTTTTTAATGCCTTTTCTCTACCAAATGATCTTTTTTGTAAAATTTTCCAGCCTCAATTTTCATCTGTCTGTCTGAATGTTTTTTTGGCAAGAAATTGGAATGGCTTGAAAAAAAATGATTGATTCTATGCTTATAGCTTTAAGATTGTTTTTATGCAACAATTTTTAGCCTTGATTGCTATTCAATAGCATTTATCTAAAGCTCAATCAGATTGGGAGTGTCTTCCCATCTCAGCATCCATTCATATTAAGCACAGAAACTCAATTTTTCACCTTATTGATTGATTTTATCATCCATGAAATATTTTTTTTTTCAATATTAATTCAAATTCATCGATCCAGAAAATTTCCTATCAAGTGTTTAATAGCAAGCATGAGTCGACTTTTTATCTCGATGAAGGAACAAAATAGACATGATAAATATCTATCGCAATCATAAATTCATCAATATCTAAGTGAATATGTCTTCCTGACACAATTCACTCAAGACGACATTTTGTACTTGTCAAAATATTTACGAATAGGATTTTTATAATTTGGAAAGCAATGTTTTAAGCATGACAATTGATGAGTAGAAAAAAATTGTCAAATTGTTTTATTCTCTTTTTTTGGGAAAATTTTTTGATTGACATTTTTCATGATTAAGAGGATTTCTATCCTTTGTTGCCTTATGCTGCACACAAAAAAAAATTTCTCCTTTTTTATATTGCGTAGATTTATGCAAATATACAGGCAAAGAGTGTGGGGGCTTTGGAAATACAAAGATAGATTATTTTTTTAGACAGGATGTTAAATCAATTCATGGAGCGGAAAAAAGTCATAAAAGCAAATATTGCTTTAAGGTGCTTCCGCTAGAACTGTCATTCCTTCATCTCCTTTGTTTCTCGCTTTGTGAAATTTATGATATAAGGTAGGCAGTACCTAATGATCCAACTGAACACCATAAAATTTAATTTTCGCTGATGTATGTGCGTCAGATGGTTAACCTGACTCATCATTGAATTTTCATCCTTTTCATATCCACCAAAAAATATTTTAAGACGGCCGTTTATCGATGAGTATGTCAAAAAGATGGAAAATTTACGAGATTTGTTGTAAAACTTTTTCTGTTCCTTTTTTATGGCCAGAGACTTCTCTTATCCTCATTTGAGTATGAGGAAATAAAAAGATGAAAGTCATAAAAACAAACTTTATAAAAAGTCCTGAAACCATTCGTGTCATCGTAACAATAACAGCAACAAAAACAGCATGGATGATATTACAGAAAAATTGACTAAATGGAATTAAGCTACGAAAAGGAAATTCATTTAGGCAGTTTGTGAACTTTTTTTTTTGACAAACTTTCAAGTCACTTTTTATGAGTCAATCTGCATGAATTTTACAGCACGCATTAAAAGTAAATTTGATTGAACAAAAAGCTCTTTTTAATGCAGATTAGGAACGAATAAAATAGCTTTTTATGAATTTTTCTATGCCTTTTTATCAGGTCTATTCATCAGATGAAAGCCTTTTTGTGTGCCTTTTTTATGAAGTTTTTGACACCTTTTCTGTCACAGTAATTTCTATTTTGAGGAAGGAAGAAGAAAAGTTTTTTTTTATTCTTTCAGCAGGAAAAAAAGTGTGAGTGATGAAGGACAATTGCTGCATTTGCAGAGATTTGGGACTTGTTCTATTAACAACTTGATTCAAGCGGGGATCCAACCTTGCCTACTTTAAGTCCTACAATGGACAGTCTTCTGATCTAGCTCAATAAAATCCTCAATTCAGAACCCAAAAAAAGGTGTCAAGACAGTCCTGATAAGGGGCTGTTCACTTATGACGTCCGGAGGGGGGGGGGCAAGAGTAGAACAATAGAATTCCTGGAAATCCTTGGTTCTTTTTTGAAAAATGACCGTTAATTTTGGACGTCATAAATGAAGAACCCCTAAGAAATTCCAACCATTTTTCACACCAGCATCCCAAAAATTAAGCCTCAAATCTTCATTCACATTACACGATTCAATTATGCAGCATAATTGTTGTCATTCTCTCAACGTACGTTAAATCCATTCTCATCACAATCCATCCCGCATGAATTAAATCCTATTCCAAAACCAACATTTATTGTGAAAGCAATCAAAAGATCGTAGAATGGAAAGTTATTGAAGTAAATTTCCTGATAAAAGAATTGTTTTTTTGTACAATGGAGAGCATCGATTATCGCTTAACTGAAATCCATTCTCACATAACTTCCATCGTTTCCTCGTTTCACAAGATGCAAAAGTTTTCTACTTACGAAAAAATAAAAACAGTCTTTTCTCGACTTTTGCTAGCATGAACAACAGCAACATTCGTCTGCCGCCATACAAACACTTTTTTTCTTACTTCTTCAAGCTTGAATTGTCTTACTTGTCGTCTATGAAATGATAACGTTGCTGATACATGAGTTGAATGATAAACTTTTCCTTCCTTACTTCGTCTATATCTTTTGGGATGAAGCGCGACTGAATGAAGAAAAGAGATTCCATTTCCTTGTCTACAATCTCACGTAGATGTGTGCTGCAGCTTGTGAGGGAAGTGAAATAAGAAGATGAATTAAAGGAGTAGATAAGGCAATATTCACAGAGTTGTTGACATGCCTTAACTAATAGGATGTAACCACTGTGTATTACTTAAAACCTTGGAGATTATTAAGTATGCCAAGGATATATTTATATTCAAAACACTAGATCAGAACCTTAAAAACTTATTCATACAAATCCAAAAATCAAAAGTCAAGATCAAGCATAATCAAACATAATACATTATTTTGTCCACTTAGACATAAAATTGACATATTTAAGCATAACTCGCATCTAGCATAACCTCCAAAAATATCAGAATAACATCACTGCCTGATTCTCTGTGGATATCGACAAAACTTCCACATCTCAAAACAATAACAAACTTTCCAAAATTTTAATCAACACTGGATAATGAAAAAGCACTAAGAGTTCGTGCAATAACCGAAATCAATTGCCTTATTCGACAAAAAACTTTATGCATTTCACGCTTTGGGAAAGAAAAAGTTTTCGGCATACATCAGATTATTTTATATGTTTTCATATTCCGGTTATCTAATAATACTGACGGATGAATGGATTAAAGTGAAAGTGATATGAACAATTTAACTTTTCCATTTAAATGATGAGATAGTTTTGAGAGGTTTCAGGTAGATGTGATAGTTTAAAAGTTTTTTTAGGGCTTGATAGGTTTAGTTGCACAACTTTAAAGTCCATTGAGCAATATTTTATTTTAAACTTTAATTCTAATTCAATAAATCCATCTGATAAAGTAAATATTCTGTTTAATTTGATTAACTCTACTGTAAATAATCAACAACCCGAATATTCCCATTCATCCAGCAGTAGCTATATAAATATTCAAATTCCATTTAGTAATCGATCAAAATGTCAATACCGACGAAAAAGTTTTCTGTTTTAACTTTCTGACCTAAAAGCACTTTAAATTCAATTTGTTTGGTGACAATGATAAAGTTTTTTCTTCTGTTTGCTGTTAAAAAATTGGAATAGATTTAGATGCTTAAAGATCATAAATGCAGTAAATTCTGATAAGAGTCATGTTAAAACGACAGGAAAAACTTAACGGTTAGAAATAATTTGAATTTTTCGCGCAAAATATTTAAAAAACATTGAGAATTTTATTTGTTTACAAACAAAGAATTCAGAACGAATTTTTGGAACTTCTTGAAAAGTTTTTAATCACTTTGATGTTTTAAATCCCAGCAATTTGAAAATTTCATGAAATTTTTAACATATTACGAAAAAAAAACTTGATTAAAGTAGTCAATGATAAAAAAATTGTGCAAATTTTTCAGCTTAATTCAAAAAATTGTCAAATTAAGACGCAAATTGTAAAATCTTAATAGACTAATCATGGAAAATTGTGAAAATAACAAGGAGGTTCTTCAGATGCTGACAAAAGTGACGAATTTCGTAATGGAATGTGAGAAATTGACAATGGAGAATGATCAAGTGAAATTCGAAAATGAAAATCTCAAAAATCGATTGGAGGAAGCGGATAAAAGGAATCAGCAAATCAATTATGAATTGCAGCAACGAGACAAGACCATCGCTTTGAACATCAAGACATTGAAGCAAAAGGATATAATTATTGACGATAAGAATGAAGAAATAAAGCAGATCAATTTAGTAATTGGAAAAAATGACGAAAAATTAGAACAGCTTGAAGAAGTCATCGCTGAACAAAAAGAATACATCCTTGACTTGAATGATATTGTTGATTCAAAAGAGCTTACAATCATTAAAAAGGAAGACTTGATAGACCAAAAAATCGAAATCATCAAGAATCTGGAACGAACAGCAGTTGAATTAAATCAAAAGATAACAGCAATGGAAAAATCGATTGAGAAGCTTGAAGAAGCTGCTAGGAAGAAAAAAAATAAATTAAAGCGAAAGACTTCAGGAAGTGAGACGCACGCAAATTACTTAAAAGCTTGTTATAACAATTCGGCGACTCGATGCCAAGTTTTGGAGCAGAAAATCTCAAATTTGGAATATTACGTAAGCTGTCTTCATGCTGCTCTTGAACGAAATTACATTTTTGAGGATGCTGTTGCGTTTCTTGAAAATGATCAAGTATGTTATATATTTTCTATTAAATGCATTCAATATCACCACTTTTATCTCTTCCTTCTTTAGACTGAAGACTCTCCAATCACTGAGGCAACTGATGAACAGTCTATGGCTGTAACTGATGTTGATGACAAGAGTGAAGTTCTGTCTGATGAGAGTGTTGATGACGATAATGATTGCAAGAAGAATGAACTAATTTCTTCAGAGGATAGATTTGCTGTTTATTCAAATATTTATGATGAAAAAACTACCGAGAAAAGCTGCAAGTCCAAGATATCACCAAAGAAGTCGTTTGAAAAAAAGTCAAAGAACAAGAAAATCACAAAGCCCAAAAAGAAGAAGGTTAAGTTTGCACAGGTTGTCACTGTGGCTTTTTTCTGAAATAGTCGACGACAAGCTTTTGTGCAAGGGGAAAGAACTGTGAAATCTTCTCACATTCACCTGTATTTACATGCATTTTCCCTCATTTCATGTATTTACCTGCATTTAAATGTACATACATGCATAACCATGCATTTACATGTATTTTACCGCTATTATCAATTAAGCGATGGTTTATATTCATTTATTTTTAAAATAGTAATTTGCAAAGATTTTATTAATTTTAAAAGCTGTTTCATGACGTAAAGACACCTTAACATTGTTTACGTCAATTTTGACTTGAATTTTCTATAAATTTTAATAGTGAAATGTTTTAAAAAAGAAAATAAGTGTGATAACTTAATGCATATAAGTTTTTATTGAACGAATTCAACGCGATAATGGTGATAATTATATTCATTTCTATAAAAGAAGAAACTACCGAATGTTATTCTAATGTTATTAAAGGCAATTGGCAACAGACGAAGACATTCCCAAGTTAGTGGATAGCTTGTCTAAGAAGGTATTTAAAAAGTTTTTTAAGTCATTTCAATTTCTGTAACAAGTTTGAATTATTTCAGATAATACAAATATCCACAGGTGGACCAGGCATTGACAATCAGCTAATTGCAGAAGCTTCAACTTTTATAAGCGATTGCTTTTGTACAGTTCAAAAATTTGAGATACCATTTATAGTCGTTGGAAAAATTAAGTCAATCGCTCATCACTATCGTGCATATGCGGGACGAAATACAGCGTCAACTAGTAATATGCAAAATGTTTGCAATAAGATTCAAGGTCGTATCGCAAAATGGACTGGACTTTTAACGGTAGAATTTGAAAAATTATTTCCAAATATCCCTAACGGTGCAAAGGTTGCAGTAGATACAGAGAATTTTTTTTGCTACCTGTCCGTTATGTCATTTATCATATTCAATTATTTATCCTAGTCGTAACAATACATTGTGTAAGCGTAATTTCGTTGATCATTTGATTGTGTAAGCGTAATTTCGTTGATCATTTGAAACGGGGACATTTGCAAATCAGAAATCCTTCACGCCTCTCAGCACCTCCTCCTATTTCTACTTCGGTTCCTGACAATAGTTCAACCCTTGATGCTTTAATCGAAACTAGCTCCTTATTCAATTAAATTCCAACCATTCACAATCAGTTCTGACCCCGAATGGTCCACAGATACATGTACGTCGTTTACAAACTCGTACCTCAAGACGTTCTCAAAGACAAACTTAATATAAGACAACCATATTAAGCTGATGTTATTAAGCTATGAATTTTAAAATTTATGCAATAATTTAATATGATAGTATTTAATATATATTAATATATTTAATATATAATAGTAATGAGCTGCATTATAAAGGCAATCGCTTTAGTGATATCATCACTGGAAAATCATTGTACAACTTTTTCCAAGCTAATATGGTTTTACCTGAATTGAGCGGTCTTAAAATATACATGAATAAAGAGCTGGATGTGAGAGAGATCAATTTGAAACACACTTTGTTTCAACAATATGGGATGATGAAGATACTGAGCCAATCGATGAGAGTCTCATTTTTCAAAATGTTGAGTTTCTTAGCGCTAGATCAAACAATGGCTACTTAACAATCAAAGAGGATGAAACTATACGAATAGTTAAGAAAGAACAGCTGATATGGATGCTAGAAGACAACAAAATTCATGTCAATACAGATGTTAGACAACGTTTCGTACCTCGTAGGACAATTCATATTAATACATCAGTAAATCAAGTTGATGATTTCTGGATAGCCACAAAAGTTTCAAAAGGTGATAATGTTCTTCCATTTGATGAAGGAAATACTATTTTTGGACAAGTTTTAAACTTCAAGTGCCTGCATATCCAATCGATGAGTAAATCAACATTTTATCAGGACTTTGTAGAGATAGAGCATTGTGAAAAAATTGGTTTGCTGTTAAGTCCATTATACTTTATTGTTATTGGACAAAAGGTTTTGATGGACATAATTAGGGTTGGGCAGAATCGTATTCGAATATATATTCGAATATACATAATTCAAAAAATAACCGTTATTAATCGTGATTTTTTTTTAATAAATGTTTAACAATTAATTAAATAACTTACAACTAAAATATCGACGTATTTGGCTAGAGAAAGTACTTCCATTGCTTTTTCATTAAAATTAGATCTATTTTAGTAATTGTTTAACATGATTTTTTCAATTGAAAAAATTTGATATCAAAGAATATTTGAAGTCGCCTTTTAAAAAATTTTAACGATCAATAAATATTTAAAAATTTTCCCGCTAAGAGTTGCACTACGAAAACACAAGTTATAGTATAATTACATAATTTGTTCCAATGAATTTCCATATAGAAAAACTTTTTCATTTAACGGTCTTTTGAGATTCAAATTTTCTAACAGTCAGTAAGTTTTTGAAAGCTTTTTGCCAAAGGATACACAAAAAATCATTAATTATAGTATATTTAACAATTCAATATCTTTAATTCTCATATATGAATTGTTTATCATTTACAAATTACAGGCAAGTTGAAAAATGCTAATCAACAAATAACGTATTTTTTCATTTTTGAATTTCTAATATTCGAATATATATTCGAATATATTCGAATATTTTTTGTTCATATTCGAATATATTCAAATATATTCGAATATTTGCCCAACCCTAGACATAATTAAGTATTTTGAATTAAAGCTATATAAATGTCATGTTAATGCTAATCTAGACTTTACTCAGGAAGACATAGCAACTTTCATACGTTCTTTTGACAATAATATTTAAAGAAATAATAAACAATTATGTCTTTTTTTCTCATTATTCCTTAAAATGTACCTTTAAATTATTATTTTAATCCCAATATATTTGTGGTAATTTATTTTCTGTGCATACCTGTATTTACATGTTTTTTCCCGCATTTACCCCCATTTTCCCGCATTTAGGGTAAACCATGTTAAAATTTGTGCAATGTTGAAATTTGTGCGCTCACATAAAAAAGAAATCAGCCCAAATAAGCCATTTAAACCAAAATTTTGTTTGGAGCTCTGTGTAAAACGGTTGTACAAACATTTCTCCATCATTTTGGATATTCTTAAAGCTTGGAGCAGCTTTAAATTTGAAAAATTTAAAATCCTATACAAAATTGTGACTTTCATATTTTTAAATATTTGGACAAAACCAGTGCTGCTTGTAATCAAATCACAGTTTTAATATAAAATTTGATAATTGCTATACTGTTTCAAAAAAAAATTCAAGTCATAAAAATCATTGGAAGTGCTTTAAAATTTGATTTTAAAATTTCTTGATTGTAAATGTTAAAATTTGTACGAAATTTTTTTACAAATTTTGAAATTTGTGCGCTTGTTGTCGTAGAAAGCGTTTTGTCAACAACAAATATTATTTACGTATGAAATTCATGTTTTTATAGGATTTTACGAAGAATATCATAAATGGAACTACTGAATGTCAAAAACTGATTACAGTTGATAAAAATTAAAAAGGTGGATCATTTAAAATTTTAGATAAAAATAAAAAAAATTCAAAAGACTTCAAGAATATCCATACATTCAAAAATTATATCCTGTTTAGTGTTTAATTTCATATCTTTAAATAAAAACATTTTGATTTCCTAATTCTCATCTTTTTATTGTTAAAACTCTATGCTGCATAAAATTTACAAAAAAAAATGAAGGAATTGCTGATTTAATGGATGTTCCTTTGACGGTTGTAAACTCAGCCAGCTCAAACTGAGTTAAATCTTGAATCTTGCATTATTTCACAAATATTAAAATTTTCCGCACAAATTTCAAAATTTGACCGAAAATGTCAAAAATCTCTTCTCATAAGCAGCATATCCTTCAAAAAACATTATTAACTAAAAATTCTCTCAATTATTGATCTTTTGAGCCCATTAGCAAATTTTCATCATCAGTCATTAGCAAGTTATTTGCAAATCAAATCTTCATGTGCAAAAACACAAATTTCATATCTTATAATTTATATTTATGATTTCCATAAATGACATTTATACTAAAAAATTGAATCTTTAATCATTTGAGAGTTTCAGATGTATGATGAACTAGCACAAGTTTTGACTTGTTTCACGTCAAATTTTCAACTTTTTATGGACCATTCAGTATGATAAGTTAAAATATGTTTTTTTAAAAACTATCTTTAATTTAAAATTCCGGGAAAGTTTTTGGAACCACAATAATAAATATTTAAATCAAAGAACAAATGTAATTTAGAATATAAAACATCCAACGGAACTCTTCTATTATTCTATTTGAAATTTTTAACATCATTTTACAAAAAGCTCAAAACTTTCATGTCATACGATTTTTTGGAAAATGTTGAAGTCCTGATGTAGCATTTATTTCCATTGTAAAACAAACGACAAAGTTTTCGGAACTAATGTTTTTGTGCAGGTTGGAATGTTGAACATAGAAAAAATTGTAAAATATTTAAGAATCGAGGAATAAAAAGGCTTTGACAATACAAGCGTTGTGCTTTATCATGCAAACATGGTTGCTTAAGTTAACATCACATCTTAAACCATTGAAAATTCCATATAACCTCTCGTTGACAATCCATGCATTGACAATTAATCATCCATTAACAATGTATTTTCAAAGCCAGTAAAAGCTTTTCACCAGTTCCAATTCAAACATTTACATTTAAATGGTTGCATCCTCAATTGTGTAAATATTATGATTTCATTTTAAAGCCATTCGCAGGGAGCATTTATCACCAACGGTTAACCAGGATAACCTCAAAATATCATTGAGTCATTTTCAACCAAGTGCTTTGTTTTATCACTTTGATGATTACAATAATGTTGAGTTTACTATTGTTTTATGTACAAACTGGGAATATTTACAGCTGTGTTCATGTTTTGGTGTTCATTTAAAAATAATTAAGTAAACAGTTGGATTGATACAGTTCGCTGATTGTCCTGAAATAGCCTTTACATCACTAATTAAAAAACTCATTCAAACTACAAAAAGAACTCATTTAAGCTTATCAAAAGCATTTAATTCCACTCATTCATAAATGTACACTCATTACACTAAGCACATGCATTCATATGAGTGCAAAATAAGCTTGTGTAGATGATGACTGCAGAAAATAAATGAAAAATAAATAAAAAGCAGGAAGAATTTGTGTCAAATGGACTTTAATATAAGAATAAACAAGCAATTGCAGTGGATTTGTGCAATTTAATAGCTTTTTTTCCCGTCCTCATCGTTTTTATTGATAGTGTGAAAAATGGCAGAGAAAAATGGATATAAATTAAGTTCTACGTAAGGCGAAGAGGAAGGAGGAAAATGAGAAAATAATCGAGAAAAAAAAACAGCAAAAGCAATTTTCCCAGTTCATCAATTTGTGTTTGGAGCTGCTTTTTATTTCATTTTTCTTCATGCCAAAGCATCTCTTTCTGTCTCATCCATAAAAATGAAACTCAATAAAATGTAAATAAAAACGATAAATGAATGAAGACAAGAAAATGCAATTTGTCTCATCCCGTAGATGCTCATTCTTCTTATGTGTGTACAGCTGCATGCGGTGTGATATAAGGTGACACCAAATTGTTTGTTTTCATTTATTGCTCTTATTATGATCACTCGAGTGTGTGTATAAGTTCAATTGGAATGAAAAATAGACTTTGAATGCAAATTGAATGTTTTGTTAAAGTAATTGACTGATTTTAATAAAAAATTAATCTACAGGCTAGATCTATGGACTGAAATTTGTTTATAAATCAACTCAGTTCCTCAGACCTGAATGGCACTGGTCGACCCGAACAGCACAAGTCGGGTAATCGATCAGAAATTCGGCTTCAAGCCGACGTTACTCTGGTATGGTGCTGGATTTGATTTGAAGCCAGCATCATGCCAGAGTCTTGCTAGCTTGGTGCAAGATTTCTATTCGATTAGCCGACTTGTACTATTCGGGGTATTCATTAATGTCCTATAAATGGACGTTAAAATCACAAAACTCACAAGCAACAGCTTCAACTCCTTCTTTTAAAGCATACTCATCCACAACCTTAAATCACAAAACACAGAACACCATCAAAACTTTAATCTTAATCATATTCAAACCCCAAGAGTGTAGTGGTCTGTGAAGTAAAATTAATCCGTTCCTTTGCCAGCAATGACACATACAATCACGAGTATCTTCCCTCCTTTTTTACGAGCGCATGCAAGTAAATGATATTTAAGTAAATTGCAATGTGAGATCATATCATAATTTACAAACATCTGCGTACTACATATATGAAGCCATCATCAGCATTTTTCATCTTAAGCTCTTCCCGCCAAAACTCACGTAAAAGTACTTTTGTGGAAAGACAACAGAATTATTTTATTTTTTGATGTCATCATCATAAAAGAGAATTATGAGCACAGGAAAACTCTTTATCTGAGAGACATCTGAAAAATGATTGAATCATTCAATTTTTCAGGCATTAGCGAAAAACTTTGAGGAAAATAAATTAAATCTGACATGAAGAGTAAGGTATGAAAATATACACTTGAGTAAATAGGAACGTAGAAAAATTGCTCATTCTTAAAAATACCGAAGAATAATTTGGAATTTAAATTCAAATCAATTTCTTGTGGATGGATTTTTTTGATGGAGTGAGTCTTGAGATGCTCGTTTTGTCTGAAAAGAATGAGAGAACATCCTTGGCTATTCGATTAAGTTAAGAGTACAATTTGGAATTAGTGCCATTAAATCATTTTAAAAGTGAATCCTTCATCGACATATTTTTAAATGAGGTTAAGCTACACAACCTCTTATGCTTTCCACAAAAGTCATAAAATGCGTTTTAAAACAAATTAATCCAACCTCTAACACAACAGCATCTCAATAAACACCATCCAACAATAATATAAAATGGAGATAAAATTTACAATTCTAAACGGAAGTGAATAAATATAGATTCAGACAAAAATATGTGTAAAATAGCTTAATGGAATCCAATATCAAACAATTTTTTTCGATTGCTCATTTTAACGCGCGAGTATTTTATTCAGCACTGATTTACGAGATTCGAATTGTGATTGATGAACAGAATGGAGCGATGGATAGGAAAAAAAAAATGTATAATTTCATTCACTTACCGATTGCTGAAAATATACACGTCTGTGTGTATAGGATTGATAATAAATCTTAGGCTTGTGAAAAATTGGAACTGACAAACTTGATACAAATACACATGTGTTGTTCGATGGATGCTGTCTTTAAGATTTTATCTTTTTGAGAGATTTTTGGTCCTATTTCTGGCATTTTTCTTATGATGAGATTGCTATCAGCACAATGTGTTGAATGATCTATCGATACGAGTTTTGGAAGCTTGAATCGATGCTCTTTTGTAGCCTTGAAAGATAATTTGTTAAATAAATTAGAGTTTATTATTTCACGACGTCTGAAAGTTGTACCATACCCTTTAGACCTACAGTCTATAGTGGGATCTGAACCAGTTGCAAGTTCTGTATATACAACCAACACACGAATCGAGCTTCGTAACTAGAACGGTGAAAATGAAAAAAGAGCTGCGAAAATTAGACATGGCCTGATATTGAATCCAGGAACTTTGGCATGGAAGGCCAACGCTCTACCATTTAGGCTACTGATGCCATTTCACTGTTGATCCAAATGGCACAAGTTGGTAAATTGATCAGAAATCCAGCACAAATCCGGTTTGACTCTGGCATGGTGCTGGATTTAAATCGAAGCTAGTACCATGCTAGAGTAAGACCGGCTTCAGTTTTAGATTTCTATTCAATTAACCGACTTGTGCTATTCTGGTATGTTTCACATCTGATAGCCATAAAATCCTTTGAAGTTTAAATGTTTCTATCCAACTCCTCAAAGAATTATTGCATCACCATGACAAAAGCATAAGTTATGCATTTATAGACCATAAAAAATTGTGTACACAAAAACAGTCTTTAAGATAAAGATTGTTTATGGACCATAAACTACAAAAAATGAATTTTTATTGAACTCCGCCCTTAAATTTTGTTTACTTTTCAATCATTCTATCCTTATCGTTTAAGCAACACAAATACAAAGGAATAGTAAAAATATTACGACTTCATTAAGAAACTCTTTTTTATCGTCAACTCTATATTGTAGTTACATTTTGAGGAAAGTCATCTTTCCAAAGGATATAAAAATTTTGCTACAAAACAAACATCTTTTAGTGCACTCTATGGCTTTAGAGCATACAAAATTTCTTTTAAAATCGTCATCAAATTTTTTTATGGATGAAAAATACGTAAAAATAGTTTTTCATGCTGATTTGCTTAGCTGATTCGATTTGGATTGAAATTTGGTGATGATTAGCGCTAGAAGTTGAAAATTCTTAAGATCTTTATTACCTTAGATCTATAAAACCCTAAAAACATCAACATCATCCTAAAATCAATTACTAATTGTTTGGTACATTTTTGAACACAAATTTATGCAAAACAGCTGCTTTCGACCAGGGTTTTGCGATACAGGCACCTGTGCACAGGTGAGAACCGTACAATTCCTTGATAATTTATAAGGTTTTGTAATAAAACCATTCAAATTCTAATAAAACCATATAAATTATCAAGGAATTGTACGGTGCTCATCTCTGCACAAGTGCCTCTATCGCAACCCTGCTTTCGACCTCAATTCCAAAACATTTCAACATCACAGCCCAAAATGTTCATTAATACACTTAAAAATTGCGACTTTATCGAAATATTTTCATGAATCAACAAGTTCTTCACAAACAGAGCAATTAAAAATTGAAGAATCGAGTAAATATAGTTCCTCACACAATCATGACTGCATTTTAATTGCTTGCTAAGCTTTAGAATTGCCAACAAATTTGAAATAAAATATGAATGCACACAAATTCAAGCTGTCATATCTATTTGTCTTCTTTTTACTATAATGAACTACTTAACACTAAGAATCTGTGCTGTATCTACACAAAAGTAATATTACGTAAATACTTGTGAACACATGTTTAAAGTTAAATAACAAACTCTGCAGTTTTAAGGACACGAGGCAGTGTTTTGTGCTCATAAGGAGAGTAAATGAGAGTTGATAGGAAGGGGGAATGAGAAGAGCAGTAAGTGTGCAATTAGTGAGAACAAAAAAAAAGCAATTTTACAGCAAACTTAGTTGTGTAAATGTATAGTTTATAATTTATTTATGTATGCTATCTTACATTGTAATGCCGGTAGAAATACATTTTTCTTTTAGTCGCATTGTGAGTAACGTACAGCTATTGCTTGATTTAATTACACAGCATAATGAAATTGGGACTTTTTAGGTAAGTTAAAGTTTTTTTAAAGATATTTTCCGGTGTTGATTGAGGCACAAAAAAAATGTTTTAATAAAACTAAGATAATGGAAGTGATGTAGAATAAGTAGTGCTTGTGGTGTATTTAAACTACATAAAATATTAAATGTTAACCATCAATTGCCTTCCATCCTTTTTTGAGGATAGAAAAGTTTTGAGAAGTGTGAAAAACCTTTTCTTACTTCCTATTTTTTTGGACCTGTTTAATAGTTGAAAGATATAAAAATATCATTTTATGGCACTTAACATAATCTCAGTTCTAAATCCATTTTAAGGTTTATTTTTTATGCGAGAGGGCTTAAGAATACATTAGCTCTGCTTACGATAAGATGAAAATTACTTCAATTTTTCATTTTTCCCATGGTTTACAGAAGCGATAGAAAAATTGGAAGAAAAAAAAATTGTGTTTACAAAAATAGACGATAGCCTCATGAAATTCAATTAAATTTGCTGATTCTTATTCGAAGTACTTAGTGATAAAATTGAATAACGTGGGCACGATTCAAGGAATTTCATGATTAAATAATATTCAGTTGAATAACATAAGCATCTTGCTTATAAATGTAATCGGAGATTGAAAAAATATGCGATATTATTTTACTGAGTTCAGCACTCGTTGCTTTCTATAGCTATCTGCTTTAAGTGTTTATTTTGAAAGAGAATCAATGTTGTTTCTCTTTAAATTTATGAAGCTTTAAAAATTTAATAACAATTTGAAGCAACTTTAAATTCTATATTGAAAAACCTTGCCTGAACAAATTCAATGAGTTCAATCAACTATCATTTCAAACTTTTCTCAGAATTTTTCATAACTAGATTAAGACATCATTCTGATTCAATCTAGACACAAGAATGAGCAGTAAAATTATACGAAAAAAGAGATAACAAGACTGAACTAAAATTAGAATTAATTTAAATGCCAGCATTTCCAAAACCTGACTAAAAAGAAGAAGAAAATGTTTGCGTTGTAAGCATAAAAAAATTAATCGAAAAAAATCGCAACCCTTTTTTCATGTCGGACTTCTTATTGTTGACTTTGAGATTTTGAAGATTATTTTATTCAATCAGCTCTGTAGCATCGATATTTCCATTGCTATTATCTCCCCCTTCTATTTTTATTAATCCTACGAAACTCTAAAATATGGGGTCGTGCACCTATGACGTCCGAAATTAGCGGTCATTTTTTCAAAAAAAGAACAATAGATTTACAGGAATTTCTATTGTTGTTTTGTTCTCGCTGACAACCCCCCCCCCCCCCCCCCCCCCTGACGTCATAAGTGAACGACCCTATTATGACGTCGGTTAAAAATTAATAGAAAAAAAATATTAAATTGCATTTTAGACAATTCTCTTGCTAAATGACGTCGTATTTGAATGACTCATAAATGCTTCGATCATCCCAGAGCTCGAATTCGATGAAATTTTGGATAGAGTCGAGTCGACTTGAAGTCGACCTTGCCATACAAAATTGATGAAAATTTCGAGTCAACTTCGAGCTCTGGATCATCCTGACAATGACTTTATATCTTGATAAATTCTCTTGTCATAAATACGTGCTTCCTTCAATAAATGGTAAAAAATTCAAAACTGTACAATGATTGCTGCAACAGACAGGTCAAATAAAGCTATCTCCACAAAAACATAATTCAGTCGTAACCCGAAACTTCCTGTTCTATAGAATTTTATGATAAATAAACAGTTTCTACAAAGTGCTTCCTTTATCAAGGAACTTCACTTTAATCGAATAAAGTGATGACGAAACCGATTTTTGTTCTGTAAACGTGTTAGAATTTCCACTCTTATTCTCATTCAATGGACAAAGCAACAAAAAAAAACTTTTTGTTCATTCACTGTGCTATGTCATCCTACATCGCGAGAACTAAGCAACAAAGAAAAGTTTTTCTTTTTCTCTACAAAACATATGCTACATTAACTTTGTTATTCTTTTGGCACTTATGAAAGCGATTAGAAATCAATAATCCACAGCCAATGCTTTTGTGATCTTGGATGCTTGAAATTTATTTTTTCTATCCTCAAAGCTCTCCTAATTTTCGTTATTTTCCTTTGTTCTTAGATAGTTTATTGTGAACTCTATTTCATACTTAGATAGTGAAACAAAAGGATATAAAAGCCAAGGTATTAACATCCAGTCTATTTTTTTTAAATTGTTCAATTTATTTATATCTATTAATTTTATCTCAAGAGCGCACAGAAAATAAGAAAAACAAAAGGGATGGAAATACGAGACCAAAAATGCTTTTGTGCATGGAAAATTGTTTTCTTTTCGGTTATCTCGTGCTTGGTAAAATTGAGAATTTTATTGGATTAAACCTTTCGTTTGGATATAATCATAGGTTAGCTTGAATTTGCAATACTTCATGCTGAATTGGCAGTTTTGACAATTTAATTAATTTTTGTGCATTATTTACTGTCAACACAAAGATAGCTTTTAGAAATTTATAGCTGATTATCAAAAGTTCCTAAGTTTTCATTTCCAAAATGCGCCTTCTGCACATCCAATCATCCACTTCGTTTTCATAAAAAAGAACAAAATAACATTCAATCGACATTACCTTCATTCCATTCTTGCTAATCCTCGTTCTATTTTGTTACAAAGGAATTATCCTTTTCAGCGACATCCCACAGAAAAAAAAATATTCTTGTGCTCAATGTTCAATGCTTTTGTGCCTGATATTTTGTGAGATGTGGGATGAACTGAATGTTCAGAAGTGAGGGTAAGAAAGAAGAAAATTGATTTCGTGAGATGAATGGAACTAGCGGATTGATAATAATGCCAGTTACGTCTTTCACAATTTAGTTCTTTAAGGAGGAAATGTTGAGTATTTTAGGTGCAGAATTGGAGTTTTGGAAGAGATGAATTGGTATCTATAGATTTATTTGATTCATCTTCAAGCTTTATCTGATTTATCCAAGATACAGAACTTATCAAACGAGGTTGAATACTTACAACATTAGATATTCACTAGCTACTCTTCTCTCTAGCAACAACTAGTCTCTTTCAATTCTTATGTCAGATAGATAGAATTAGATGTAGGGTTCGTTTTACACGAAAAGGAACTGCGATCATAGATCTGTTGTATCATCCCTTTAGGTTCAGCTATAGAATTCCAATGTCCTTAATAAATCTCACTAAGTCCAAATAGCGCTGCTTCCTTATGCCACCTATATTGACAACATCCTCCTTGAAGTGTTTATGGCGAAAAGCACATAGTGACTTACAGTCACATAAAATGTGTGCCATGGTCTCCTCAGTTGTACTACAAAACCTACAAAATTTAGAGTTACTCAAATTGAGCTTAACAAGAAAATTATTGTTACTCATGTGTCCAGTCAAAGCACCAATTAAGATGCTAAGATCTCTTCTTGTCAGTTTCAATGCATCATTTAGGCTGTTCTTGTTGGTAGGGCCTAGCAGATTTTTAGCTGTTAGGGATCCTTTCTTTGAGCACCATATGCGAAAGTGTTGCCTGATAAGCCACTCACGAATCTCCCGTTTTACGATGTCCAAACCGTAATAAACAGTCTCGTCGTAATCTGTTCTAGAACACGCTTCTTTAGCAAGTTGATCCGCTGTTTCGTTTCCTACGTTTCCATTATGTCCTTGTACCCAATGAAGTGTAACTTCATTGTCCAATCCTAGAGATGAAAGACTAGAAATACAATCATAAACAGTTTTAGACTTTATGTTACAGTTGCCAAGTGCTGCTAGCGCAGATTTGCTGTCAGAAAAGAAGCAAATCTTGCAGTCCTTTACTTTCATATCGCTAATATGCTTTGCACCTACACATATAGCCTGCACTTCAGCTTGGAAAACACTTGTTCCTGTAAACTGGAACTTCGCATGTTCCTGTAAACTAAAGGATAATGAAATTTCCAAATCTTTACTGAAAACACCAATCCCGACTCCATCATTATGTCAATCTGGAAATTGCACAAGCTTGAACAGTTTAAGATCTTGAACTTCAATTTTGATACATTTCAATTTCCAACTCTGCACCAATATTTTTTACTTCTGCATATTTTATGCACTTTGCATGTTCTCACAAATAATTTGAAAATGGATTCTTTTGAATGATCCACTCAGCTCACAAACACTCTTTTCTTTTCCATCATTATCTCGTCTTTTTTCAAGACTCAATTCAAATGAAAAGCACAAATGAGCGATTTTCTTTAATTTGAAAAATCATCGGATTTTAAGCGGAAACTGACTAGATTGAAGAGAACTTTTTATTGAATCGCAATCAAGTAGAAGAAAAACAGTGGGAAGCAATTTTTTTTGTGTACGTCCATTGTGAATCATTTGAATGCAACAAAAAAAAATCATTTTTCATCTTAATGCCGAAAGCAATGACAAGAATAAAATTTCATCAGAATCAGAGACTTAAATAAAATTGCATCACTTCTTCTGACTACCCAATGACATTGTCGACGACGTTTTAGCATTGATGATATCATCAGCACATAAAAGCTTCAAAATTGATTTAAATTTCATATTGTTCACTAGCTCTTGACATTTCTCTTCAATTGGACGAAGAGCATTGTGATCTGGATGTAAATCATGTCGTGCTGAACTTGTCGATGGATTTTTCAGTATAGACGTTCGTATGGCTCCATATTCAGATGTATGTCGAGGAGGTGAATTTGTAAATTGCACAGACGAATGCCTTTTTGAATGTAATTTTAAAGGTTCCATTGTTTTAAGATCATGCCATTCCTTTTCTGTCATTCTCTCATATACCAAGTCGGTACGTTTTGGAACTTCCATATACGGTGGATTTATGCTTAATGTCGTCTCTAAAGGATTCAAATTTACAACTTCATAAGATTCTTCTTCTCCTTCTTCGCTGTCTGTAAAATCGAATGTCAAATCATTTGAATTTATTTCTCTCTCCATTGACGTTCGAGCACTTAAGAGCTCTAGAGAATCAACCACTCCAAGTATGTTTTGTCGACCTTCAACAGACTGTCCAACCATTCTGAAATGTGAAGAATGGTTTTGTAATCTATGAAAATTATCCAGTTGTGGACGTCTTAATATTAGATGTATATTTTGCAGCTTATTGTGTCCCCTCCTTGAAGTTCTTTTTTAACTGAAGATTATAGCATAAATATGCATTTGAGATAAAAAAATATGTAATCCATAAAGGAGGATAAGGCTAACATAAAAGGAAATCTTGTCTGAAGCACTTTCAACGACATATTTACCTTGAATTAAAGGATACACGTAACATCAAGATTATAAACAAATTTAAAGGTTACAGAACATCAAAGAGAAAATAATATTTGTGGGTTGAATAAGCATTCAAAGCAACAGGATCGTCAACTTACGAAAGTTTCTTTTCAATAATCTCTCGTGAGTCTCTGATATGAGAAGAATCAACATTTGGTAATGGGATGATGTCGGACTTTGTCAAAGCTTGCTGTTGAATCTGTAGCTTTTGAAGGATTTCGATTACTTTACACTCAAGCAACCTATCATCATCTTTTGATCCTTTTACCATTTTGATGATTGACGATGCAGTTTTTGAAAATATTGAATCATGGATGTTTGTCAAAGCATCTGCTTTTGACATTTTATGAAAAATTGATGAGATGAATTTATCCTCTATTGAGATTACTTCCGAGGGACTTTGCCTGTTCCATTCAACAGCAACAGATGATTCCATATTTAAACATTCACTGTCCGTTTGATCCATCCAATCGTCAATCAAATTTTCATCGGGGAAATCCTGTTGTTTTTCTTCACCTTTATCATCATCAACGAGGAAAATTCTACTCAAATTGTCATCATAATTCTCAATCAGGTCATATTGTATTCGCTGGATTTCATTTAAAATTCTTCTTTCGCATCCATTCAATTCATTTAGATCTATACTTTTGAGACTTTTAAAGAATCTCTTCCATAATGCAACGATGAATGAGTTTGATTGATGCTCCGGTGATGACTCAACGATGAATAAATTTATTTTATTTTCAAGGGTTTTAATTGTCATCTCATATTTATCCTTCAAGTCGCTCATCCGTTCCTTCCAATGATTCTTTTCAATGCTCATCAGATGCATCAGTTCCGTAATTTGCCGACACATCATCAAATTATTCTGCACATCCATAGCATTCAAGCACTGATTACACAATTCATTCATTCTGTCTCTGTCGTTTGCTTCGAGATTCTTTAATGTCACTTCCATTGATTCCTGCAATATTGTATGCTGTTGTGCAAGCTCATCATCAATTCTTTTTGAACATTCGCCTTCCATTTCTTGTCGTGTCTTGCCAACTGCTTCTTCTACATGCTTATTTATCTCGTCTTGACACTTTTTTGCCACAAACTCACAAAAAACTTCTCGACTTTCCTGAATTACTTTTAATAAATTTTTCTTTTCTTCTTCATGATTCTTTACAAGCTCATCAAAATGTAGCTGCCATTCTTCATTTAACTTTCTGCGTTCGTACTCTACGTGAAATTTGATCCTCAAATCTGCTTCAATTCTGAAATTTTAAAATTAATTTTTCAGTCAATCAGAAATTGCTGATTCATGATCCAGTTTATGTAGTAACATGACAGGCACTGATTGGTAGGTTTCATCCCCTCAAGCCAAGAACTGTCTTAAAATCCATACACTACCTTGCAATGTCTTCAGCTTCTTTCACTCTCGCCTCAATAATGCCTTTGTTCCTCTCAACAACCATCTTTTCTGCTCTTCCACCTATCTCAAGTATGCCTCGATGAGTAAGTGCCTGTAGACAATCAACTTGTGATGGTTGTTCTGTTATTTGAATCTTTTCTCCATGAACTCGGTCTTTTGGATTGATCCACAACTTTTTATCTCCAGGTCCTTTCAAAGGCTTATCACGACCAAAAAATATTTTGTCGATTGGTTTGCATGTTTGTAAGAAAACTTCGGTGAGTTCTTTACCAAGTCTTTTCTCTAAATCTGACTGTGTAGGTTGTCTTGGGAAATTGAGAGCATCATAAGAAATTTTCTGCTGAAAACACGAATCCCAAATATCTCTTGACATTTTTTGAAGCTTTACGAAAAAGATTTTATTTTCTAGACGATAAAATAATATTTTCGAGGGGTGAAAAGTAAGGTTCGTATGATTTTGAATTAGGATGATAAAATTTGATTATTTTATGTATGAATATTTTTCATAACTGAATGAGCTTTATGCTTTTGAAGTAAATTTGTGATTACTTAAATTTTTATAAAAATATGTGAGCATACAGATAAGGTTCATTAATGTTGAATTTTGTATGTTATCGCTGGTAAAAATTATAATTTTGGTTGGTGGTTCTGTCTTTTATCAAAGTGGATTTAAATATTCATGATTTTTGGAAGGACATAATTTAGTTCTAATGCCGAAATTGACTAACGTAGGGGTGTATTTAAATTGTGAACCAGTCCATAAATAACGTCTAATTTCGTGAATGTTAATTAAAATTGGATCATTGAAACAAGACTAATCTCCTCCGATTGATACATACCTGCAGTGCTATACGGAAAGTATCAAATGAAAGCGAAACAGATGCCAAAGATTAATTCATTGCTTAATTAACAAGATCCGTTTGTACATCCAAAACCTACACAAAAATTCCTTTCTAATTTACATCCCTTATCAAAAGAACTCCATTCAAAAATCCCATAGCTGCAAAAAAAAATCCTCAGCCTCAGCTTCCGCATTAAAGCATGTTTTCCATATGCCTCATAATCCCCCAAATAAGAATTCACAAACTAGAACACAAGCAACACCGTGATGTATAGTTTACAATGTGATTTTTTAAAAAAAGTTTATGTAGAACGCCGTACTGCTATCGGGAGAATAAATAAAAATGGAAAATTTAGACAGATTTTACCTTAATCTCGCATGAATAGCTACAAAATGATTTATTCTTGTCTATTTTGTTTTTTTTTTGCTGCTCTACATTTGTATCCTTGACTCAAGGCAAAACGTGGAAATTAAAATTGGTTGCAAAATGCGAGTTTACGAAATGAAATGGGAATAAAAAAAGGAATTAATGTTTACATCAGGCGTCATGAATAAGCGAAAATATTTAACCGTGTATCTCAAGAATTTTTATTTATTGTGTAATTTTTAAGGAAATAAGAATGTCAAGAGTAAAACTTGAGTACAAAAAATGTGTATCTTGGGAAATTCGTACATCACACAGGCACAACAATGACGACTGAGTGCCTTTTGTTTTCGTTGAGGGAATTTTAAATTTTTTATTAAACATTTGCATGTGTCTCAAACTTTTTTGTTTGCCTCCCTTACATATAAATAGAAGTGGAAGAGAATCAGGAAAGCAATCTTATAAATTTCCATTAAAGAAACATTTATGTGAAATGCTTGAAAAATCTGTTTGATTCTTGGTGTTGTTTAACTTCATTTTTTGGGGGTGCTGATATGATGTTTTATGGAAGTTTTGTTCATTTTTAAGGAGGTTTAGAAAAGAACAGAGCTTTAAGTCGATAAGGTTCGGTGGACTCGACTTGACTTAAAACCGTGTCAACTCAAGTCGACTTCGAGCTCTGTAAAAGAAGTAAAACGGCCATAAACCAGAATATTGATTTTAAACCTCTCTTCTTGGTCTCACAACCTTTTATCCTCCATTCAATGGATACAAGAGATTAAGAAGTTACAATTATGTCTTTAATTAAATCAGAAACCTGATTCCTGAGCCTCAGCCAACGAGGAAGTTCAAAACTGAGCAATTAAGCGTTTGACAAACCACTGCACGCTTACCTACGCCTTTAGTCAGTTTTAGTGGGATCTGAACCATTCGATATCTTTAAATACATACATACATACATCGCTGGCTTTACAGATCAATTGTGATCCATAGCCTCCCTTAGTTGGTGTCTGAGAAAGACTCTGTCGTTGGCTACTTTCTGCCAATCGCCAATACCAAATGCTATGCTATCTCTGTCAATAGCTTCCTTCTAGGAATTCTTTGGTCGTCCGCATATTCTCTTTCCATCCACAAAATGAGACTTAAAGATTTTATTAATTGGAGCTTCTTCAGGTCTCTCATTTCTTTAAATAAACTCAGTAAATACTCAAAAAGATGCCAAACAAAGCTCATATACCAACCTCCTGCACATATAAACCTACTTAAAATTCCAACAAACATTCAATGTTAAAAACCGACCAAGAAGTTGCCATACAATCCCATAATTCAACAATAAAAGCAGATATTACAGCCAGAATAACAAAATATTCTTATAAATATGAATATAACAAGCATAGAGAATTGAGACTGTATGAAATGAAATATGAAAATGATAACTATGCATAACTTTTTCTCTCTTCACACGCCACATAATATTTCATGTGCTCTCTCATACGAAATACATTTCTGAACCATTATTTGCCATGATTGTTCTTAATTCCTACAACGGAAATATATATCGTCTATTAAAGACTTGTAGAGGATTGTTGTGAATGTTTGGCTGGCATGGAATGGCATAAATTTTACTCGCATAAATATTTCACGAGTGTAAGGAGTGAATCCAACATACTTTTGAATTTAACCAATTTATCTTGCTTTGCAATGATCTTGGTGCATGCGAATGTGACTTTTTGTGGACATAAGACTTTTTTTTGGATGCTACGCTTATGATTCTACAAAATTGCTTACCAGTTGCTATCAAAAATTAATGAAAATTGTTCAAAAAATTATGTAAATTCATTTTTCGTACAGCATAACATTTTATACCTGAAAGGAAGTAAGATTGATGATTCATTATTGAATGAAATATGCGAGACGAGAGAAAAAAAATTGTAAATTTACACAATCGAAAAAATTGATATGAAAAATTGCTCAATCATTGCCAGAGAAAAGTTTGACAATAAATTATTCATTAAATCCATGTCTTATTTCTGTCATTTTTCATGCTTACTGTGTATGTGATTGAAAATATTAATGTAAATTTATGTCAATAAATCGTGGATTGAGATGCCTTTTTAGCTTTAAAAAGCTGAATTCAAAGTCATAGCTCTATTTCTGTCTATTTACTTCCAAAACGTACACACATAAAAATTCATAAATTTCAAACACATTTTTCTGACATATGGAGATGAAACTTTCTCCTTACTGCATTTACGCAATGATATCAAAACGAGGACATAAATGAAAATTACCACACATGCCTGCATGCCGCGCTGTGAGAACAATATAAATGGAAAAATGAAATAGTTTCTCTTATTTCACAGCAACGCCGGTGACACGCAGTTTTTATGTATTCAATAATTGGATTTTATGACAGAAACATGCAAACTTTTAATTGGAAAAAGGCTAATTATTTTAGAATGGTTTATTTTTCGCATTTGTGAAGTTAATTTGGATTAATAGAGGCAATTTTGAATATTGTATGTTGGGGATGTGACTGGAACAATTGGAAATAATTTTGTTTTGCTATTGTTTCTGGGAATGTGGACAATATCGATGAATATTGAATGTAAAGATTTTACAGATTGAATCAGGGTTGCGATACAGGCACCTGTGCACAGGTGAGAACCATACAATTCCTTGATAATTTATAAGGTTTTTCAACAAAACCATAAAAATTCTAAAAAACCTCACAAATTATCAAGGAATTGTACGGTTCTCATCTGTGCTCAGGCGCCTGTATTGCAACCCTGGATTGAAAAATCAAGGTTAGATTTTCCAGATCTTATTTACAATCTTTAAAATTCAAGTCGATCAGTTGCATATTTAATGCAGGAATTTGAATCATTTAAACTAGATTTTGAATAGATCCAAATACTAATGAGCACAACTGTATTGTAGTATTCATCAATTGAATGATGCATGAAGAGCTTTCGTGTAGCATGAAATTGCAAACGAATATTTTACAAATCGTTTTGCAATCAAGAGAATCATATTGTTATAAAAATGATGTAGCATGATACAAACGTACAATCTATTACAAATTACAGATTCTTTAGAAATTCATGTTCTTTCAAGTAGAAACACAATATATTTATTGTTTAAAAAGTATCATACTTTTTGTTGTATTAAGCAGATGGTATTGAAATATTTCTGTATTGTGTATAAAACTCAACAGAGTAAGATATTCTCAATTCATAAGGATTTATGGACCAAAGAAGAAATTCTTGCAAAAAAGAGGGGTTTAATCCCAAACCCCTTTTCCTTGGCAACTTACTTACTTCTTACTTATTTCCTTGGCACGTGGGCATTGTCGCGTTCAGAGATCTTCTGAAGACAGCTCTATCCTTGGAGACCTTCTGGCGTTCGGGATATTAAGGACTCTAGCGTCCTTATCAACATATCCAATCTAGGTATTCTTTGGTCTTCCTCTAGATCTCTTACCATCTATATAGTCTGAAACAGTCACTCTAAGTACTGAAGCGTCTTGTGGACGTCTAAACACTTGTCCAGCCCATCTCAAGCGATTAGCACGAAGAACCTTGGCAATATCCCTAATCAAATCTCTCATAAAACTCAATTTTAATGACTCGTTACCAACTCGTTACAGATTGAAGGACATCGATAAATTAACTTATACATTGCGGAAGCTGTCAGATCTGTTGTATCAATATGAAAATGATCTACTTGGTGTGGAATATCTAGCATTCTTCCATGACTCAGAAAAGGACAATTTCGGATGTCTTCTCTGCACAAAGTTTAAGAAAGGAAATCTTCAAAGTATGTTGAATCATTTCAAGACAAAGCTGCACTGGACATCATTTTTACAAAAGCATTTTCCGAATGTTTATGAACGTTTACAGAAAATGGAGATTGAACTAAAGCCATCAGAAGGTAATGAAAGATTAATTCTGAAGTTAAGTAAATCCATAATTTCATTTATTTTCAGAGGAGTTTCGTACTCTATTAAAATCACTAATCAAGGAAATCATTAGGAGATGCCCAAAAGGCTGCCCAATTGCGTTAAGCATCAACAATGCTATATCATGTAAAATAGAAATTGCAAGAGAAATTTTTGAGACATCAGAAATTAAAGAAAAAGCTATAAACACACTTTGCATTGATCTGATTGTTCAAATCAAAAAATTTGGGAATAGCATTCGACAAAAGCAAGCAATTGTAGATGAAATCATTCCTGTAATTGAGCCGATAACGGAATATGACGATTTAAGTGATGGAGAAATTTTTGATGACATGGAATCACAAATTGAGACTGGAAAACTGAAGATCAATGAAGCTAAAAGAAAAAGAATTATTAGATCAAACTCCAGACAAAGCATTACAAGATCAAACTCCAGACAAAGAAGTCGAGTTCCAAGTATTAACCGATTAATAAGTAAATACAAATATAAATATGAAAATGCTTCAAAAATAATTGAATCAAAATACAAAGGCTACAAAATCACTCCTGATTCCCATCCAAACTACAATTTAGAGTGGAAATATTACTGGACCAAAAAAGTCATGTTCAATCCTTATGCTGATGATAATTCGACAAATTTTATTGAAGCTTGGAAGATTTTTTTTGAAATTCGACTTGCCGAATTAGAGTTGGAAGACAAGTTGAAGGCACGCATAAGAATTAGAAATGCTTTAAGACTTCCAATCGATCCTGTTGATAATCAACGATTAGAAAGAATTTTATCAAGTCAATCAGATGACGAGAGAATGGTTGCAAACTTTAATTATGATGAAGAAATCAGAAGATATTCACCAAAAAGGAAGCGTGCAGCTGTCAATATTAATGAAATTGAGGAAAAAGATCTTACTAAGATGAAAACTAGAGAGCGTCTATCAATAATCAAGAATAAGAGCAATAAACCAAACTTTGTGCCTCACAAAAACTCCCAGAATCCTGAAATGACCAGAAATCTCAAAGCCACAACTGCCAAAATTAATCAAAATTCTATTGATGCCAATAACAATGAGATGACAGTCACAAATAATCAGCAAGAAGACCATTCAATACAAGCTGCTAATAATAATGACATATCCGATAGAAATAATCAGCAAGATGATAATTCAGAACAAGCAACAACTGAGAAGGATAACATATTGATCATGAGAGATAAAGAGCTTATTCTTCTTTACAAGCACTATGATGGTTTGACAGACGAGACAAAATCACATCTTACAGCGTATATGGAAGAATTGAAGAGATCTGATCCAGCAAAATTCGAAAGAATTAGTAAACATGAATTGCCAGAATCAATTGGACCAGAAATTCCAATATCTGATGACGATGAAGATTATGACGAGGAACTAATGAGAAATGTTTCGATTAATGCTCAAACTCTCTCAAATTCTTCAGATCAAGAACTTGTGAATGTATCTGATGCTGAAACAGAGTATATCGACATGACTTATTCTGATTGAGTACATCTAGATGCACTATTGCATAATAGCAGCATAAAAAAGTAAAATTCCCAAAGCCTGATTATTAATGCAGCAAAACCTTAAGCATTTTATTTGATTTTTATTCAATTTGTGACAATAAAATCCATTGGCAGCATACAAAAGCTTTTTAATTCATTTTATATGTATAAATAAATAGACTGCGAAATGCATCTGCATTGTTCTTACTACATTTGTTTAATTAAGTATTAACAGCTTTTTGATGCAGATTGTAAAATAAATATAATTCAGGCATTATGCATATTTATCCAGATTTTATATTTTTAAGCTTTGCAGCGTCTCTTTAAGAATGTAACTTTAAGTTTTAAAATACAATTCACATTAAATTCAATAAATTGAAGAAGAAAATTCAATTTATTCGTGTCTCATGTGGTATTGTAAGGACGGATAGAATGAGAAAAGTGAATACTTCCAACGTTAAATGTTTCATAAATTTCTCTTGGAGCATCCTATGCAAAAAAAAGCACTTTGAGGTAAATTGATGCCGGTAGAATCTCTTACAGCATTTCTATATTTTCCATCTTACCAATACCATTTTCCTCACATCCAATCTCCCAACAATGAAAATTGAATTGATGCTATAGGAAAGAAATTCCAGAATCATGGATAAAATTTGATAGAAGTAACATCTGACATATTTTACGTTTAACCTAGAATAGATTTTAATTTTATGAAATATTTTAAAATCAGTGTGGATATCCCAAGCACTTCCGTATGATTTTACAGTATTTTTTAATACTTAATTGCTCTTCGATAGCTTAAACATTGAGAAATGGTAAGGAAGTATGAGAATAAATTTATGCAGATTGCATATTGCTATGGATACAGTTAAGCTTATTATAAGAAAATATCCTGTAATCTTGTTCCTTATTAAAAGTTTTTTGAATTAAATGTTGTTCAAGACATTACGGAACAGAACTTGATGATAGAGAATTAAGCAATCAGAAGCGTCTTTTTGGTAAGCTAGCAAAATTTCATGATATCTTCAATACTGAGGACTATGAAGTTATAAGAACATCTCACTAACATCCTAAGATACACAATAATCCTAAAATCCATCAACATTCTAAGAGTAAAGTTTGAAACAAAATCAAATTAATAATAATTGATTGCTTATATGCACAATGGCAACTTCCTGCAAACTCTAAACTTTCACATGCATTTCAATGTTTTTATAAAAGAGCATCGATGCTCTCTTCTAGCCAAGATAAATTTAATATTGAAAGGAAGCTCATTCTTTATTATTAATAAAAGTATCTTCTTCCGTTTTTATGAGGGATTATCAAAAGGAACTCCCTTTATTAGCATCCTGTTGTGTCATAAATTATTCACAACTTTTTTTCTTACTTTCTTCATTTTATGCTCTCTTGAGCTTCTTTTGTATCTGTTTATTTATTTTCTTTTATATGTCAAAGGTACTGAACAAACCTCTTATCAATGGAATTAAATGAATTCAAATGAAAAGAGAAGATAAATCCTTTTTAATTCCTTGGTACATTTAAAAAGTGAATGACTTCAGTGAGGCGGAAATGAGATTTTAATTTCTAAATGAAATTTGTTACATTAATTTATTTATTTTTTGAAGGCAGTAAGAAAGTCATTGGAGAGAAATAAAGGAAAAAGATTAAAACTTCTATTGTTCTTGAAGATGTCTTATTATTCTGATTCTTAAAGATGTAGCGTTAGGCATTGAATAATCTTATAGATATAGTATTGGACAGCTTTAGGTGCGCTTGAACGTAACTTAATGTCCATAAAAAAAATTCGCAGAACTTAAAATTATTCATCAAATTTAAATGACTAAGCATAAGGGGCTGTTCACTTAGGGGCCATTCACTTATTACGTAACGCTTTTAGGGGGGGAGGGGGGTCTAAGATTTTGTTACGGTTCAAACAAGGAAATTTTTTTTTCATACAAATTTTGTTACGAGGGGGGGGGGGTCTAAAAAGTCATTTTTTCGCGTTACGTAATAAGTGAACAGCCCCTTATTACGTAACGCGAAAAAATGACTTTTTAGACCCCCCCTCGTAACAAAATTTGTATGAAAAAAAAATTTCCTTGTTTGAACCGTAACAAAATCTTAGACCCCCCTCCCCCCCTAAAAGCGTTACGTAATAAGTGAATGGCCCCTAACTTTCCAGAGTAAAAAATTTCATTTACGTTTGACTTGACACAAAAATTCAATATTGACATTAAAATGAACTTCGAGGCAGAATTGTTTTTAAGATTTCAAAACAATGTCTGTTGATCTTGGCTGTTTTGCTTTTTCTTAGAACAGTTTTGTTGACATGGCTAAGGGGCCATTCACTTATGACGTCCAACATTTAGGGGGGAGGAGGGTCTAGGATTTTGTGATAGCTCAAATAAAACAAATTATTTTTGTTTTGGAAATTTAGGAAATTCTATTAAAAGCAAGGTGCAGAAACTCAGGATTAATCCTGAAAAATCCTAAATTCCAAAGCCAATAAACATGAAAATGTAAAATCTCTTTTACATCCCGAAATTATCCATCAAATGCATAAGGGAAGTATGAGGAATTTCACATTTCATGTTTATTGGCTCAGAAATTTGAATTTTTTTTTTTGATTTTTAATGATTAATCCTGAGTTCTCACGTCTTGATTTAAAGTCACAAGTTTCACGATCAATTGGCGAGTATTTTTATTGACCTATTTCGTAGAAAAAAAAAACTTATTATTATGATAAATTTCATATGAAACGTGTGACCGATTTAATTTGCGAATTTTGCTTAACTTCGTATGATTCAGCAAGCAATTTTTATAACTGCACGACATCTAATTACAGACGAAAATATTTATTTGTAACTGTTTTAATTTTCGCTACTGTTTAGGAAATTTCTGAGAATTTTAGCAATACTTAGTCATGGAGAAAACTTTTGTTTTAAACTTAATAGATAAAATTGGTTGTTTATGATTAAATTCCAAAAAATATAAAGCAGGGAATTTAGAATCAACAACTAAACCACTAAAACTGACTAAAACATTCAGCAACAAGACAAAATCAAATTAAATAGCAATAAATTCACAATAGACTAGCTATTAAATATTTAACGTGGCACCTATTTATTCTGATTTGTTAGTATTTTGCAGAGGTCGAAGCGAGCATAGCGAAACGAGCTTTTAGCGAGCTCGCTTCGCTAAAAATTCAACTTGCTAAAGTTGACCTGTAGCGAGAATTTTTTTTTTCTTTTCGCCTTAGCGAACTATAGCGAACTCAATTTTATTTTTTTCGCTTTAGCGAACTATTAGCGAACTTAATTTTTCAAAGTTCGCTATAGCGAACTATTGGCGAACTAGAAAAATTTTTTTGGCTTCATATTAAGAGATGTCTGATTGCGTTTGTGAAGTATGTAATTTCATACAAAATTGCAAAAAATTATAGTTCGCCAATAGTTCGCTATAGCGAACTTTGAAAAATTAAGTTCGCTAATAGTTCGCTAAAGCGAAAAAAATAAAATTGAGTTCGCTATGGTTCGCTAAGGCGAATAGAAAAAAATTTTTCTCGCTACAGTTCGACTTTGGCAAGTTGAATTTTTAGCGAAGCGAACTTGGCGAACCAAGTTCGCTTCGACCTCTGGTATTTTGTTTATCGATCTACCCTAAAAAACGGAAATACCTTAAATCACACAATGCTATAAAACATTTCATTTATTATTGATTTTCTTCGTGAAAATTTAATTTATTTCACTTGCCACTTTTTAAGCAAATAAAAATCTCAGAGAAATAAAATAAACAAGAATGAAGAATTTTGTGTCGATAAGGAACACGAGAAGACGTTTCTCTCGTCTGGTTTTTGTTGTTACAGCTATTGAAGAGTAAGGAAATTAAATTTCTATGAATGTCTACCGAGTTCATCTTGATAGTCGCTTTTAAAGTCAAATATATTGGATGTCTTTAGAGAAGTCTTCCTTCTTGATATTTGAGTCTTGACTTCAGTTTGTAATTTAAATTCATCTTCCCATTTTCAATCTCTTTAGTTAATCCTAATGTTTCTTCCTCCACTGTCTATTAATTCTATAGCTGCATTCTAATTTTGTATATAAATAAAGTTTAACTCTTGAATTTTGCAATTCCTTTGACCTTTTTGTCGATTTTTCCAAGGGTCACCAATAATCAGCATTGACCAATCCTTTATTGAAGCAGCAAAAATAAAGTCGGGAACCTGAATTAATCATTTCCAATGAACTATATTGCAGTTTATTACATCGAAAAAATCGTGACTTCAAAGCAATTGAACGACATTTTTATGATTTTTGATACATTTAAAATGCACTGAAGCCAACTTACTTCAAGTATTATTTTTAAACATTTTCCACAGTAAAGACATGAAGTTCGTTTTTATTTTTGTTACATTAGCTGTTTCTGTGACTTTTGTAGAAAGTTTTAAATCATTTAATGAAATCGAAACCTTATTAGACAATCATGCAAAAAGTTTAGATAAATCAAAAGATGATTCAGTAGCAGGCAAAGGATTATTAGAAGTGCAAGAAGCTGTTAATCCAAAAGATCGAAAGAATCACAGACAGCGTCGAGATAGTTCGTCTGAAATTATATCAAGTGACAGTAGTGGAGTTTTAGGAAGCAGTAATAGTAGTGTGGCAAGTGGAAGTATAAATAATTCAGGAAGTGCAAGTGGAAGCATTGAGGGTTCACAAAGTCTTGGTTCTAACAGTTTAACGTCATCTATTGAAAGCGCGAGTGGCTCAGCTTCAATTGAAAGTTCAGCACATGTTGGTAAAGCAGATTCTAGAGATGGGGATTTAGATGACGAAGGAATCGAGCTTGAAGACGAATTTGAATTATTTGACGAATTTGACGATACCTTAAATGTGGACGATGAATTTGGCTTTGTTGAAAATTTCGATGAAATTGAGAATGCTGAAAATTTGGATGGAATTGAGACTGTTGAAAATTTGGATGATGTTGAGGATATTGAAGTCGAGGACGAAATCGAGAATGTTGAAAATTTAGATAAAATCGATGATGTCGATATTGTGTATCCTGAAATTGAGGAAATTGAAAATTTGGAAGTTGCGGATGATGAATTAGAAACCATTGATGAAGTTGAAGGTGGTGTCGAAGAAAAGGCAGACATTGAAGATGAAGCAGCAAACAATCTTGAAAACGCTGATAAAGAATTAGAAAACCTCCAAATAGAATTAGACGAAGTAGAACCTGTTCCAAAAGAATTAGGTGATGATTTAGAAGAGGCTACAGACACAGAGGAATCAGTAGACGATGATACAGAAGAATCTGAAGAAACATTAGACGAAACTGTAGAAAATGAAGACACAAACGCTGATGAAGATGAGCCAAAAAAGAAAAGAACTAAAAAATTAAAGAAAAAAGTTTCAGAATCGATTGATGAAGAACTTGTTGACGAAGTTGCGCCAGATTTACTTGTGTAATATTTCGGAAAATTCCACTTTTAAGTTCATTAAATTTGTTACATCCTTTTCTACACTATTAAGTAAAACTTTTAATTAATATTTTATCTAAAACTATAAGCATAAGCAAAAGTTGTTGTGAATAAAAATATTTTCAATTTTCACACATCAAAGAAAAACAGTTTTACCATACAAGCTCACATTACACGTAACCTGATGAGTTGTAATATGAAAAGTTTACACGTTTTTGAACTTTAAAATTTTTTACCTTGAAATTTCAAATTTCTTAATGGTAGAATTTTGACTTTTTGTCACGATTTCATTAAACTCTTGCTGTGAACGTTTCTGACTATTTATTGTTAGAGTTAATTGCCTTGTTAAAGTATAATAAAGTATTATTCATAAATAAAAGGCACTGAGAGATGTCACGAATATTAAATGAAAATTAAATCCAGAGTAGTTTTACGATAATTTTTGATTCCTTTATGACCCTCAACATTTCAGTGTGACGTCATTTACAGATGACCCAACCACAATAAACATCAAAAATGATTCGGTAATGCTGTGGACACAAATTGATACACAAAACAAAACTAATGAATTAAAATTTTCATTTGCATTATGTCGATTGGATTAAAGTGGTTAAATGTGTTGTCAATAATAAGCACGTCACATGAAAGTGGCTTTTAGGCGATAATTAAAAATCGAAATGTTTAATCACGAAACAAGGCTTTTCAATACAAACACATGTTCGTCGATGCTTATTGTCAAGGAAAACATTTGCAAGGCTTATTGTACAAACTCTTTGTGTAATTTATTTCTATTCTTGTCAAAATTAAAAAACAAACGAAACTTTCTCAAAACGTGCTATTCAGACAACAATGAAGCGCCCAATAAAAATTCATGTCACGAAAAAGGTATTTGTCTAAGATTTTTTTAAGTCTCTACTTCACCTGTACATCTCATTTAAATTTCCTTCATGAAAACATTCAGTCATTCATCATAAAAGTGCGAGATAACTTGTATTATTGACAATGAAGCTGATGCTGCTTGTTCTATTTTTAAGTATATACATTGAATGTGCTCCAAATAAAGTTTACTTTGTAAAACTTGAGGTTGAGGATGGAATAGAGTTAGAAGAATTCAGCGTTAAAGCAAAGACTAAGGAGAATAATAAAGGATATCCAACATATTTTGAGAACTTTCCTTACTTTCCTTATCAAGTTCCAGCAACTCAAGCTACACAAGTCACTAAACCTGAAATTTCTTCTTTAACAAAACAAGGAATAGCTGTAGAAAATGAGGAACAAGTAAATATCAATAAGGATGTTGCAGTTGAAGAAGAAACTGGCTAAATTGTGTTAATTAAGGTTAAAATAATTGTTTTCTTAAAGATTAAAACATGAAAATAAAGATTTAAGTTCCGGCTGTAAATTCTGGTAAATGTTAATTTAACTATACTCATTTCAAGGGTGCGAAACTGATGAAATGTTCAAAATTGATCAAAATTAATCAGAAATGCTTAAAAATGATCAAAATGTAACTTAGGGGTCGTTTACTTATGACGTTCAAAATTAAGGGTCATTTTTCAAAAACGAACAATAGATTTCCAGGAATTTATATTGTTCTTTTCTTGCTGACCCCCCCCCCCCCCCCCCCCCCTGGACGTTGTAATTGAACGGCCCCTCATCAGTTCCGCACTCTTGGTTTATTCTTATACCAAGTGTATTTAAAATTCTAATTCTATCTGTTTCTTCTAAAGATTTACAAAAATTAAAGAGAATGTTTTGGTCACTTCAACAACCTAGAACTTAAAAAGCATGCACAAAAGAACTTCAAGTGCAAAGAATAAAAACTTCATCGCCTCAAGTTATTGAGTTAAGCATTTTCAAACAATTCTAGTAAGTTTGTGAAGTTTCCTCAAGAACAGCAAGAGCTTATAATGAAGCAGAAAGGAAAACTTTCAGCAAACCAAAATGGAAATCTTTCTCAGAGACACTTGAGAATTTATTTAAAGAAGAATTTCAATTTAATTTAAAGTTTGTATTTGTGGGAAATTTTTAATTGAAACCAAGAAAACTTTATGAAGTTGAAATTTCACTTAAAAACCATTTAGTTACTTCCAACAACTTTGTTTGTCTAAATGTCAATGTACAGCAATTTGCATTTGCAATTTTCATTCAATTTAATTCGATTAAATTAACATTTAATGCTTGAATATGAAAACAGAAATATCAACATTGCTTATTATTCTCCATTAGCCGCTAAATTAATTACTTTTTGCTTACATTCCGTTTTCTATTATGTCTATTTAAACATACAATTCATTTTCTGCTAAATAGCAACTCATAAATTTTTCTTTCTTTCTTTATTTACATAACTTATGTATGTTGGAGAATAAGGACAGGAAATGTTTAATATTTAACTTGTAGAGGTGTTATTATCCTATTCATACAATGTTGGTGTATTTTTTAATACTTGAAAATTTAATCCTCAAATTAGTAAGCTTCTACAAGCTATTAAGAAGCAACATTGAAGCAAGCTAATACATTTTGAGACAAAATACATTTTTAACATCACATTTCAGTACACATCAACATAAACTCATTAAAAACTAAGCTCTGCATGTGATGGAATGCAATAAAGTAAACGACGTTAAACATGTAATTATGTAGAAAAGAAAATTGATAGCAAATTCAGGTATTCTTCTCATTAACTTCTTCATCGTCGTCTTCCTATTAATTAATAGTGAGGTAAAGATGCAAGTAAGCTATATAAAACTACAAACATCAATTAGCGAATGGGGATTGAAATAAGTTTTTAATTAAATCGATTAAAATTAATCGAGCTTATTAAAAACTTTTTTAATCGCTTATCTTCTTAATTGTTGCAAAAAAATGCTCAACAGTTTTTGTGGATTAATTCCACTTTAAATTGCTATAATCATGATTATTAAGTTAAGCTTCTCATTTGAAACATAAATTCATGTGCTAGAATTCATTATCGATATTGAAACGCAATGAGCTATGGCGAGTAAAAACTCAGATATGCTTCGTAAATCAATAAATAGCTTTTCCAATATAATTTATAAACAAATATTCATTTTTCTGCATAATACAATTGCAGTCCGATATCGAATTGTATGAGTGAAAATCGTATTTATTTGTGAAAATTAAATTTATTTTCCAAAAGCATTTTAAAGTGCAATTATGAATTATTTTTAATAAAGTTTTAAAGCTTTCAGCTGGGAATTTAAACCAATTAAAGGAATTACTCGTAAATTACGTAGCAATAAGTTTAAACTGTATTAGTTTAGCGACCATCAAAGATAAATTAAGAAATGAGTTTTAGAAAATGTTGCAGTTTAAAAAAGATAGTTTAGAAGACATCATTTCCACAGGACCCTATTTGTACAACCTTAAAATGCAATACCTATCTAATGTGAAGTTCTAAAACACAAGAATTGGCAGGAGAGAGATCTAAAAGAATTTACTATCAAACTTTTTTTTAATTTTCATTCACAGCAGCATTTGAGAATGCTCAAAATTCAATTAAGCTAGCTTGTGATATTTCTCTGCTTCCGCTTTAGTTTATAAGAGAAAGTTTCAAATGCTTAATCCCTTGAATTCTCCAGAAATGAATCTTTTCTCATTTCGTTTCTAATCTTCACATTTTTCACTGAGCTACAGCAAGTTGAAATTTCTGCTGTTCAGTAGTTCTTGTTTTATGCAAAGATTTTTCATTTTATATATTTTTATGAATTCATTTCCTTTTACTGAGTGGAAGTGCTGAAGACTTTAAATGACTTTCTTTACTGAAGTAAGGAGCATGAGAAAAACATAATCTTTTGCTTCCGTTTTTCCAGTTACTGTTGACAACTCAGCTAAGGTAAGATTCTTCATACTTTCTTAAGAATTTCAGGATTTGTCACGAAAGGTTTCATCACAGAAAAATTTCAAAAGTTAATCATTCTAAAATGATTAAATATTTATTAAGAAATCATAATAATTCTCAGAAGGGAGCTTAACGTTCTTATTTTGAAATCTTTTATGTTTGCTGTAAACTTTATTGTCCGTATAAAATTGTGTAAATATTTCTCAATACCTGAATAAATTATGAAATAAAGTTTAAATTCATGGAATAATTAAAATATTTAATTCAAATCATAGTTTTGTAATCTAAAGGAGACATAGACAGCTTAATCATTATTAATGCAATTTTAATAAAGGATATTCCTATAAAATGTAACATTTATGAATCCACAATTCTCTACCGTTTGTGAAATCTATGTTAATAAAATTCTGTCAACAACCTCTCGTAATATACTTCCAGTTATTTCATTACTAATATTTCAAAGTATTTTCATACAAACTCAATATATTTATAGAATGTTTATTAATTCTGAAACTTCAACTCAAGACATCGAAACTTTTACGTTTTCTTATAAATCTCCGTCATAAGGATCAATATTAATATTATCTAGATACATGATTTGAAGCTATTTTTAAATTTCTTGAAATTCCGATGATGCATATCACGAAAAAGAAACGATTATATAAAGGATCATGACATCATTCAAGCAAGATTGCAGTATATAAAGTGTAGAATAAATGTCAGATATATGTTCATGAAAAGATTAAGGAGCCACTTTAAATATTTATCTCTTACATCAATTCATTAAAAGATAATGAGCTTCGATGAAAAAAGGGAAGCTGATGCACATTTAAACAATAAAATTCATTTTCAGTTCCTTTTTATGAAATCCCAAACTTTTGGGTGTTTTAAGATTTTTTGTTATCGGAAATCTTTGATTGTTAAGAACTTTAAACTTCCGATCTTGAATGAAATTCCTATTGTCTGTTCCTTTATTTAAAAATTTCAATGAACTTCATTCAGGATAAGAAAAACTTCTAAAACTAAATAAGATTCAATCTAGAGGTAACAATACAATAATAACAAGGAAAAGCTACCAAGAAGAAGAAGAATGAAAGTATTTGTAAACCCAGAGATCGAAGCCGATTTTTTCGGCTTAACTCAATTTTTGATTTTTTTGATAGAAAAAAGCCATTTAACACCCATTTTAAGTATTTAAATTGAACTTTACATGCTTTACTATGATTCTGTGAAATATTTTTTCAGCATGTAGCTATAGTAAGCTCTGAATTTCAATTTAGCCGATTTTTAGCCGATCGGCTTGAATTTCGGCTTAACATTCTTTAACTTGAAATTCTGTGCTCACTATAGCTACATGCTGAAAAAATATTTCACAGAATCATAGTAAAGCATGTAAAGTTCAATTTAAATACTTAAAATGGGTGTTAAATGGCTTTTTTCTATCAAAAAAATCAAAAATTGAGTTAAGCCGAAAAAATCGGCTTCGATCTCTGTGTAAACCTATTGAAGTATGTCAAAGGTAACCAAAAAGACCTTTTTCAAACTTCATTAAATTTCTCAGAAAAAAAATACTTTTTTATTAGCAACAATAGAAGGAAAGGCAACATTGAACGGTAGATCTATATGTATGCGATATGAAGAAAATTCAATCAATTGATTACAATGGCATCATCACCGTTATAAAAATATCCAAGCAACGATGATGACAATCGTTGAGTAAACCAACAGACGATCGAAATCAATTGACTTTCAAATGCATTTTATTATTCAGAAAAAGAGAATCCATACCATAGCATTCCAAAGTATTGTATGTGTGTTTGAATAAAGTGATTTTCAAATGCGTTTTTGATGAAATCAATATAGGTTAATCCTATACGTGTACATACGTGTAGTGTTAATATTATATATGCGATTCGATATCAATTGCAAATCGAACTTTTTGAAATGTTTTTGATGTGAATAAACAGCCAGGGAAATGAATTATATTGCAGTTGTGAATAAAACCCAACGAATTTCTGAAATTAAATTCCAAAGCCACAGATTCTTGATAAAAATTGATGTTTGCATTTTTGTGGATTTTTTTTTGAGTTGAATGGAACGAAATCCTTAATTCATCTATGAATTAAATTCAAAGCAACCTAACCAGCTATAAAAATAATAAAATTGTTTCTTTGTAAAGCATTCAAAGATTCAAGTAGCAAAGCAATTTTCATTATAGAAATTAATCTACCCAAATAAAATACTTGAGCTTTGTATGAGTTCAAAAGAATTGCTCGTGGCATTCGTTTTCATTTTCATTCGAAAAATGTTGAGTAAATTTCTACAAATTGAATAAAAAGCTTTAATCTGAAATATTAACAGAATAACTTGAGGGCATAAAGATGCAAATGACATGAAAGTTTAATTTTACGTACGTAAAGCTTTTATTATTTAATGCAATAATTCTTAAAATGTGTTTCAT